AGATTCCGTTAGTTCAGGGGCCCACATTTTCTTTTTCTTTTTTCTTTTTTTTTTTTTTTGAGACAGAGTCTCACTTTGTTGCCCAAGCTACAGTGGGTGCTGTGGCATCAGCCTAGCTCACAGCAACTTCACACTCCTAGGCTCAAGTGATCCTACTGCCTCAGCCTCCCGAGTAGCTGGGAATACAGGCATGTGCCATCATGCCCAGCTAATTTTTTGTGTATATATTAGTTGGCCAATTAATTTCTTTCTATTTATAGTAGAGATGGTATTGCTCGCTCTTCCTCAGGCTGGTTTGGAACTCCTGACCTGGAGCAATCCGCCCGCCTCAGCCTCCCAGAGTGCTAGGATTACAGGCTTGAGCCACCACGCCTGGCCCCAGGCCCACATTTTCTTGTCCCAAAGGGGTGGGAACCTGTGGCCAAAGGTGCCAGCCCTGGAAAATTACACCTTGCTGTAGGCTAGAGCTGACTAGGGTGAACCAGAAGTCAGTCACCTTCACAGGAACTGCAGCCTGGCTTTCTATTATCTGAGTGCCCTAGATAATAGAAACCCCAAACTGGGTTAAGATGATTGAGACTGTTCTCCTTGGTTCCTGGCAGAAACAAATAAAAACACTCCCTGACCCTAATGGTTGCTACAAAATGTTTTAGAAACAATATTGAACATGGTATCAGAGATAATCTGATTCAAGAGGAGGCAAGATTCCATGAGGGAGAATGAGAATAACAATAGATAATAGAAAAAGACCCATGTGGAATCAAGGTAATTAGAATTACAGTTTGCTTTAAAAAAAAACTAAGACTACATTCAAGGAGATAAAAGTAAAGTTTGAAAATTTTGGCAGGAAACTACTGGAAACTATAAAATATGATTCATCAGATTTCAAAAAGAGCCAAGTAAAAATTCTAGTAGTGTAAATGCCAATAAACAAAATTAAGAGAAAAATAGACTTAACAGCAGCTTAGACACTGCTGAAGAGAGAACTAATGAATGAAATATAGGTCAGAAGGTTAGAATGTAGGGTGACAGTAAAAGTCCTTAGCAATGTATAATGACATTTGGGAGGTTGTGCTCAGAACACTGAGGATGCAATTTGCAACATGAATGTGTTCACCAAAACCAGAGGAGGCTGTCCACCTGGAAATGTAATAAGGAGGAATTGTGAGTATCTGCAAAGAAAATGAGCTTGTGTGTGCTAACTGCCTTCGATGATTTCTCTTCTGTGACTGCTCAAATTGCTCTATTCTGAATTATACAGGGACACTGAAATGAAATAGCAGACTTTAAAATGTAGACTCTTAAAAATTAGTATTAGTAGACTCTTTAAAAATGTTTAATAGATTCCAGAAGAGATATAAATCCACTACTTTTTGAGATATTCTTATATGTCATGTCTTGTTGTGGTAATAAATTTGAAGTCAGTTTAATTAAAACTAATTATTTTGGGTTTGACTTTGAAGTGAATAATTGTTGCAATTATTTGTCCTATGTGTTAGTTTGAAAATCTATCATATACCCAGTTTGTACCAGGTATATAGCTATCACTTTTACTTTTATTAATACAAATCTAAAGTTTTAATTATATTAACCATCAAAAGTTTGACATGTGTTTCCTTATTCCAGTTGAGTTTCCTGAATATGGCTTCCTAATTCTTAGGTTAGATTTCTACTGGTTTTAAAGATTTTATTGAGAGAATAAGTTACATTTCTATGACCCCTTTAGTGTGACTTCTTTTCCTGACTCATGGGGCTTTCTAAGGGCTACTTAGACAGTTGGAGGAGTTACAGAATTTAGTTTCCTTCTTCTAAATCACTCCCGTGGTATTGCAGATATCACTTAGTTACTTTGCTCATACACTCTATGGTTCTCCATAAATTTTGTTCTTAATGACTCTCATTTCTGACTTCTTGAGTCCTTACTTGGGTTTATAGACGGCTATCAGATTTGAGACTTAATTTGTTCTAGTAGGACTTTGCTGTCTTCTTGGCTACAGCTAGTTCACTACTCTTAGTTTTTCTGTCTCAGGACCACTAGGGGGAGATCATTTCTAGCAAACCATACCAACTTGCAAACATTGTGGGCTAATATTTAAAAATACTAACTAGTGGAAAAACAAAAAAAAGAATAAAGAAAAAACAAACAAACAAAAATACTAACCAGTGGAGATTTTCTTTTATATGTTTTTAAAAAATTAGGCCTATTTTTTTTAAAAGCAATTTTAGGTTTACGAAAAATTGAGGAGAAAGTACAGAGTTACCATTTCCCCCTCTTTCTCCTCCCCAGTTAATTCTATTATTGACCACTTGCATTAGCGCAGTACATTTGTTACATTGATCTGACATTTATACATTATCATTAACTAAATTCCATAGTTTACAATAGGGCTCACTCTTTGTGTTGTAGAGTCTATGGATCTTGACAAATGTATAATGGCACACATCCACCATTACAGTGTTATACGGAATAGTTTCATTGCCCTAAAAAATCCCCTATGCTCCACCTATTGGCTTCTTTCACTTATCAATATTTAAGGATCCTTCATATCATTTTGTGGCTTGATACTTCATTTTTTTAATCATTGCAAAATATTCCGTTATCTGGATGTACCACAGTTTGTTTATCTATTAACCTATTTAAAGACATCTTGGCTGCTTCCACATTTTGGCCATTATGAATAAAGCTGCTATTCATTATGTAAATTCTTATGTGAACATAAATTTTCACTGATTTGGGTAAACACTAAAGAGAGAAATTGCTGGATTGTAGGGTTAAGAAAATGTTAAGTTTTGTAGGAAACTGTCAAATTGTTTTCCAAAGTAGCTGTACCAGTTTTTTTGTGTGTGTATAGACAGAATTGTGTGCTATGTTGCCCAGGCTAGTCTTGAACTCCTGGGCTCAAGAGATCCTCCTGCCTTGGCTTCCTAAAATGCTAGGATTATAGGTGTGAGCCACTGTGCTTGGCCCTAGGAACTCTTTTGATAGTATTTTTAATTAGTATCGCCAATAGCAAAATATTTTTGGAAGATTAAATCATAAATTACTCTTATTTGGCCATGACACCATGACAGTTCATGAACATGTTATTCATATGCTTCAAATCTGAAACACTATAGCCTAAATCTTTAACCACTGGCAAATCTTTAACCACCTGAAAAATTTGACATGGAATATATTTTGTGGATGTATATTTAGGTTTGTTGCCTACTGAGGGGGCAGAGTCAAAATAGGGTAAGAAATGTTATTAACCCTATCAATACCTTTCTTCTGGGGGGGCTCTACTGTAGTTTGTATTAATCTCCCTCCTTCCCTCCCACTCTAGATGAGCTGCAATGGTCTGGGTTGTAAGTTTAAATCACATTAAATTCTACCTCTTAGGTGAATGGAGAAAGAGTATCACCTTGGTCTGTTTCAGTGATTATTTTATTAATGTCATTTCCCATCAGGCATGCCAAAATTAAACATTAAATGTCATAATGACTAAGTGTGAATATAAACACTTAAGGATAGACAATATTATTTATAATTCTTTGTTTCCACTGTATGTTTTGGATGAGCAAAAATAATTTGCTAGTTAGGTGTGGTGGCTCATGCCCCTGTAATCCTAGCACTTTGGGAGGCCAAGGTGGGAGGATTTCTTGAGGCCAGAGTTCGAGATCAGCCTTCACGAGAGTGAGACCTGGTCTCTACAAAAAATAAAAAAATTAACCGGGCATGGTGGCACGCACTTGTAGTCCCAGCTACTCAGGAGGTTGAGGCAAGTGGATTGCTTGAGCCCAGGACTTTGAAGTTGCAGTGAACTGTGATGACACCACTGCACTCTAGCTGGGGTGACAGAGTGAGTCTCTGTCTCAAAAAATATTTGCTTATTTTTTAATAATGAAATTTTTGGCTCTTATGAGAAAGTGAGTCGTGAGGCAGTTGTGAAGAGAACAGAATTTGTCCTCACGTTGCTGGTGTCCTCGCCCTTGACTGCAAATCCTAGACCTAGAGTAACACGTTAGTATCCTGAGGTAATGTAGTTTCAGAAAGTGCCCAATTTCTTTTCTTCTCTACTCAAAGAAGAAAAAGAACCAATTTTCAAAATACATTTTAATAGATACATGTTCCAGGTGGCATAATGTTATACTTCAAACACAAATTCACCCATTTACTTATTTTTTTTTTTCAGAAGTCAGTATTCTCTAGGAAGAAGATATTTTCTGAAATTTCAAGAAGGTTTTCAGGTAAACTATGAGTTAATTTCTTCTGAGACTCTCCAGTGTGTCTCAATCTATTCCATCATGTGACTAATGAAAAAAGATTCACATGTGTCACCAAATTTGAGGTGGTTGAGTTGAGAAAATTTGAAACAGGTTACTGAATTCCTGGAAGAAAATAGAACACCTTTTAAATGTAGGTAAAAGCATATTAAATTTAAACATTTTTATTTGAGATCAGAATTTCTAGGAATAGGAACATCAATATCAAACCAATCTTTTGCTATCTCTAAGGATATTTGGTTCTAGACACTCCTGCAATTATCTTTGCTTATTTGGTGGAAGAAAAGCCTATTTTTGCAATATTTCTTGAGTCCTATCTGATAGGAAGAGCAGGTGGGTTTATCTTTTCTGCTAACTCCAGACTGTTATAAGCAGCTTCTTGCAATATTACATTAGGAATTCTCTGAGGCTCACCCACCATCAGCGAATGGAAAGGATCATGACAAACTGAAGTGTGTCTGCTATGGGCCGTGTGTGTGGTGGGGGGGTAGAGGAGCATAGTCTGCTTCCAGACATTTCCAGCTTTGACCCAAAATGCAAAGTATGTTATATGCCAGCAATGAAAAGTCATCTTTCAGTCTTTATACCATAGGGTTGGTGGCCCAGTAAAAATTTTCCTTCACGTTGCAGGAATCAGTTGTGAGTGTGTGAAGGGGCTCCATGATTTGATTAAGATCTGTGTCTGTCTAGGCAAGACAAAGAACTCTGCTCTCTCATTCTGCAGACGACCTTCATGGTCAAGGAGCCTTCCTGAGCTGGAGGAATTTACCATTTGGCGGTTCTGTGGTGGTTTCCTCCGTCGTGTGCAGGCCCCTTCGGAGGCCCGCGGGGGTTGTCACTCCAAACTCATCATCCGTGTCTGTGGGAGTTGGGAGGTGGCCCTCTGGGGTTCCGTGGGTGGCAGGGTTTACTCCTGCTTGTCCTGCAGGAAGGCTTGTGCCCTGGCCATCTGGGTTAGCCCCTGCCTGAGTGGGCAGCAGGATCCCTCCCGGGAGCAAGGGGTGGATGATGAGGCCCGTGAAGAAGTGTGGGGCCACTGGCTGCAATAAAGGAGGCAGACAGAAAACATGGTCAAAGTCAAAGCCACTTGTTTTTAGGCTGGTTAACTACCCCCTTTTTTTTTTTTTGAGGGCAGCCAGTTTGAGTAGGTATGGCAGGATGGAGAGAGTGAAGTCAGAGAAAACAGCAACGATCTAGTATTCCTCAGAGGAAATGCCACTGTTGGCCCAGCCAAGCCTGATGCTGGGTTCATGACTAGGATTCCTTGCCATGCTTCCTTTTCCTCAGAAACAGGAAGTCAGAATCCAGTTGGTCATGGGAAAAGGAATACGCATCATTTGTTACCATCAGGTGTATCCGGAGGTAGATCTAAGGCAAAAAATGTACACAGTTGTTGTGGGCTAGATCTGTTATTAACCTAAAACATCATCTTTTGCTCATAAAATTTAAAACAAATGTAATTTAGGAGATGAAAAAGTAATGAAAACATTGATTCCACTGGGTTAATCAACCCTCATCTTCACGGCTTGCATCTCTTCAAGTTCTTATGATGTATTTTTCAAAGGCATGGGGGAACATTCAGTCAGAAACGTTCCTCTTGGCAATTCAACTACTGTGAGCTTCTTGTGGTTGCACAGGGAAATCCTCTCTCTTGGAATCTTTCATTGTTAGAGAGAGTCTGATCGAGCAGGTCTGGAGTAAGACCGAGCTATCCACGTTTTTAGCCAGATTTTGAAGTCATCTTGATGTGGTAGGCTGTGATTGATGTTTGGGAAATACTGTCTTAGATTTAAGAGATAATGAAACCAGAATTAGACTTATGCTGGATGAGAGAAAGGAATATAGAAGTTTCCAAATTGAAGGTTGTGACACCCACAATTTTGAAATAAAAAGGTGAGTGTCAGCCATTACTAAAAAATAAAACAAAGAGAGTAGATCAGACTACGTTCTGTATAGTAAGGGTAAGTATAGTGTTTCATCAAATTTGTGTGCGTGTGTGCATGTGTGCATGTGTGTTGAGCTGCATGAAAAATGTAGTTGTTATTGTGCATTGTGCTGAAAAATGTTTGAAAACTGCTAGCACAGTAGATAGAAAAAGGGCTTTGGATTTGGATATACTTTTTTTTTTTGTCTTTGAGACCTAAGTTACTTGAGCTAATTGAGCTTCAGTTTCTTTATAAAGGTGGGTCAAAAATCTCTGCTTTGTTGATTGGTGAGTGTTGAAGGCAATATATATAAAAGATCTGCTAAAACTATTATTTTATTAATTATTTTTATTAATTATTATTTTTATTAATAATTTAATATTTATCAAATTATTTTATTTATATAAATTATTATATAACACTATTATATAGTGTTATATAATATACATGGTAGGTATAGATGTTCATGCATCAATGTTGGCAAAACAGATAGCCCTGGCTGGGTGAGGTGGCTCACGCCTGTAATCCTAGCACTCTGGGAGGCTGAGGCGGGCGGATTGCTCAAGGTCAGGAGTTCGAAATCAGCCTGAGGAAGAGCGAGCAATACCATCTCTACTATAAATAGAAAGAAATTAATTGGCCAACTAATATATATAGAAAAAATTAGCCGGCATGGTGGCACATGCCTGTAGTCTCAGCTACTTGGGAGGCTAAGGCAGCAGGATTGCTTGAGCCCGGGAGTTTGAGGTTGCTGTGAGCTAGGCTGATACCACGGCACTCACCCTAGCCTGGGCAACAAAGCAAGACTCTGTCTCAAAAACAAAAATAAAAACAAAAACAAAAACAGATAGCCCCATTACTTGAGTATTATTTATGGGCAACATAGCAAATCTCTACCTTTTCCATAATAGAAAAAATTGTTTAAAAACTGCATTTCCAAATATTGCCTCAATTCCTTACTTTACTTGTCATATTTAGATATCATGCTAATTCCAGTCATTTTCTGTAAAATATTACCTATGGAGGAATGCATAGAAGTGCCTAGTAATAGTAATATTAACTTTATTTAGATACAACTGTTCAGTTATTCATGTATACAGAAAAGAGTTCATTCATCACAATCTGATGCTAGAAAAATATATATTTACCCATAAAAATAAAAATCTGAGTTAAGAAATTAAATTTGTCTGTAAAAAATATCAATATTTATATTATTACACATCTACATATATTTTAGTAGTTTATGATCCTAGATTGTAATCAATATAAAGTTCAAAAATGTTCAGTGTGCATTGGTTCTCTGAGTAGAGTTGAATCTGACAGCAATACATGATAATAAACACTAAGTCAGATTAATGGAAAAATAGCTGGAGAAGGATGATGAAATCCCCAGATAAAGAAAGGGTAACCTAATGCAAGCATGTATAAAAACATTCAGTTTATTATACATTTAATGTACAGCAGATTCAAGATTTATGGTTGAAGGAGACTATATGAAGATAGACACTATATTGTGGTAGAAGTGAAAAGAATTTGAAATGTTAGTAATTAAAAACTTTTTTTTACCAATTCCTCTGAGCTTAGAATAGTACCCTAAAAGCAAAATGATAAACACAAATTATTAGACAAATTTTAATATATTTGAAGCAAGGTATTATAACATAACTTAAAACCTTAAAATACTTTTAAAGATGGTAGAGAGAGATTTTGTATTTTCAATAATATGTTAAACTGCCTTTGTTAGTTGTATCACAGAACTCAAGTCAGCATATTATATGGGACTCCTAAATTCATCCTTTGAGTAATGAGAGGTTGCATACATTGTAAAAATTAAATAATTTTCTATTATTAAGTAGATAAGCATTGGAAGAAACCTCGAGAATGCTGAAAGCAAAAAAAAAATAAAAAAATAAAAAAATAAACCCACCATGATTCCACCATTCAGAGTTTGATATATTTTCTTCCAGATATTTTTCATACATTTCTTTTTTATTTAATGGAAGTCATGTCATTTTTACAATGTTCTATCTTGCTTTTTCTCTTAGTATTACATGATAATTTAATTGTATTGTTGATAAATGTTAATAAATGTAATTTTAAATGGCCACATAGTATTTGTTCTTACATTGCACAGTTTACTTGGCCATTTTTCTTTGGTCTTAGATTGCATCCAATATTTTTCTGTACTACAAATATTACTTTGATGACTATATCGTACATAAACCTTTGCTATATTTCAGATAATTTTCTTGGGATATGTTCCTAGATATGGAATTAAGAGTTGATATAAATTTTATATTTGCTTTTGTTTTTAGAAGTAAAAGCTGTCATCTGATACCGATATTTGACCTTCTTCTTTTGACAGTTTTATCAGGGATCTTAAGAATTACTTTCACAAAGGTAAATGGGGAGAAAGAAGAAAGTGTTTATAGAATTTTCAGGGAAAATACATATAGTCAAAAGTAAATTTGAGATTAAAAAAATAAATCCCTAAGCCATTAATCATTAGATGGAGCCCAATAGAATGGATCCTTCCTTCCTTCCTTCCTTCCTTCCTTCCTTCCTTCCTTCCTTCTCTCCCTCCTCCTCCGCCCCTCCCTCCTCCTCCCTCGCCTCCTGCGGCCCCGCGTTGGCCCCCCCCTCTCCTCTCCTACTCTCCTCTCTCCCTCTCCTCCCTCTCCTCCCCTCCTCCTCCCTCCCTCCTCCCCTCCTCCCCCCTCCTCCCCTCCCCTCCCTCCCTTCGCCTCCCCTCTCTTCTCTTTTCTTTCTTTCCTTTTTCTTGTTCTGTCGCCCCGGGCTAGAGTTCAGTGGTGTCATCATAGCTCACAGCAACCTCAAACTCTTGGGCTCAAGCAATCCTCCTGCCTCAGCCTCCCAAGTAGCTGAGACTACAGGCAAGTGCCACCATGCCTGGCTAATTTTTCTATTTTTAGTAGAGATGGGTCTTACTCTTGCTTAGGCTGGTCTTGAACTCTTGAGTTCAAGTAATCTTCCCACCTCAGCCTCCTAGAGTGCTAGGATTACAGGCGTAGGCCAACATGTCTGGCCACTTATTTCTTTCTTAACAGTTTGGTTTAGAGATTGGTTGCTTCATCTGTGTGTGATATTTATTAATGGTGCAACAGTAACTGAGTAATTTTAATGATCTCCAATTACTCATTTTCCATTGGAAATAAAAATATTGTCCACAAAAAATTGTGTTGAAGATTAAATGAGATAATATATGTACAATACTTAGAACAGTGTGGCACATAGTACGTGCTGTGCTAGCTCTTGTGAGTATCAGTGTCCCTACAGTGCAAAGTAAATTGGAAACTTCACAACTATCTGGTGAATATTGGTAAGATTAAATAAATACTTCCCACAAAAGCGATTTAAAATCAAAATCATATTAAAAACTCTCTTACCTGGGCTCCAAGTTGTGCTATAAAAATTGGTAACACCTGAAAAAAGAGAAAAATTCAGCAAAAAATATATTCTAAAGATAAATTCTAGCAGGTGATATAAATATTGAGACTTTCTTAGAAGGATACATTATTTGTTGAAAGGTATTTGTTACTAATGTATTACCTATGATTATAGATATAGACCTATAGAGCTGGATGGGAATTGGGACTCATCCAATTTGTAAAAAGTATTAGACCTAGAGAGATTTAGAAATCAAATCTAGACAGTACATTTAGAAGTTAAAAGTTAGTAAACTGGATGAACAAAAAATAATTTTGGTCTCAGGTGATCTCCAAACTGAAGATTATTCCAAGTAGGAATGATGATAAAATGCAGATTTCTTTTATGTGGCATTTCAGAAGATGCATTAAAGTATGTAATGGATATTTTAAAATGCAGAAGTTTCTTGAAACATACATATTTATTCTTGCAATAGTTGCCAGGATATTTTGCTGTGAAGTTTGCCAGTTCGTGCTCAGGAACCCTGGCATCAACACAGCTCTTAAAACTAGATAGGAAATAATTCATGGTCACCGATAACTAATTAAATGTTAGGAATTTATAGCTGAAAAAGATTTGGGTGAGGTGTTGGCATGCTCCAGCATTCTCTACTACTATAAGAACTAGCCTGGAGTTTGTCAAAGGAAGCTAGGGTTTTAAACACTTATTTTTATTTCTATAAAAAATTCAGTGTCAGGAAATTAATCAAAATGGAATTTTAATTTGACAATAACCAACTCAAAAGATTCAAAAGTCTTATGAAATGGACTCTTAACTTTATTATTTTTCAAGACAGTTGGTATGGCCATTATGGAATTATGGAGTGCTAACAGGTAAAAAGTATGTACATTCATGAACAGCCTTACCTTCAGTCAGGTTCTTGTCTACTGACAGAAAAAAAGGCAATGACAACAATAACAATGGCAACAAAAACCCAGCTAACCTTCAGGGTGGCAATGGGGAAGTAGTTTGGGAGAAGGGACACAGTATTTGGGAGAAAACAGAATTGAAATTTCTTCTTTAAAGGAAAGTTGGAGTGGAAGGCACAAAAAGATAAAAAGAGGAAACCACAGATGTTAAGTAACATCTGTAACAAAAGGTAATCTATTTTTCACTATTATAACAAAAAAGAGAATAATTTTTTTCTTAGTTGTTGGTAGTAAAATTATTTTAAATAATAGCAAATACATTTTGTGTGTTTAGTATTTTAAGTGTTTGACATATTTACCATTTAATTTGTATAACATATAATTTATATAACATATATACCATATGATTTTTTATAGAGCTCTACTTTAATGCCCATTTTAAATTTTGAGGAAAGCGAACCACAGAGTGGTTAAGTAACTTGGCCAACATCACACAGGTGATGAGTGGAGAGCTGAGATTTGAGCAGAAGTTGTGTGGTTCTGGAGTTCGCTCTTAACCATGTTGGCCTTTCTATGATAATGGGGAGCTTCCAACAGGTGCCCTGGCTTGTGGCAGAGGAATTAAGCCACTTTGCATAGGGAGAGGCGGGTTGGAGGGATTGGAGCTGCCCAAGACAGGGTCAGGTACCCTTGGTGGTAAGCACAGCCTAGAGACACTGTGAAATTCCCACAGGGAAGGAGAATTGATTTATAGTATTGTGTGTTGGAGATTGGGCAATGTCAGACCCTCCATACTGGAACTTTTGTGACATCTTCAGTGCCCACTAATGCCTTTGAGATGAGGAAATATTCTTTGGGGAATATGGAGATGTACTAAGTCTGGCTTCAAGCTTAGAGCAGGGCAGCAACTGAGGCTGCAGCTGGGCAGTGAGCATAGGGATTACACAAGGATCACCTATTAAAGACAGTCTCATTATATTTGCATGTTTCTCAAGTCTTTTTCAGAGGGTCAATTTTATTATCAAGATTTTTATTCTCAAGATATTTTGTGTGTCTTTGGCCCTGGAAATCCTATTCCAAAGTAAGAGTTGGGCGAGAGGAAATTGTCATTGATATAGTCATAGACTTAGTTACAAGGATTTTCACTGTAGCATTTGTTTATAGAAGCGAAAGCCTTGGAAAGATCCCCAAATTTTCACAATACGGGACCTAGTACCCAATGGAATACTACACAGTCATTCAAAACCATGTTATAAGTGAATATTTCAAAACATGAAAACTATTTAAAATGTATATGTGGAAAAAAATCAGGTTATAGAACATTAAATATAGCAAAAACATTTTCTTTAAAAATGTACTTATATGAGCTTGAAGCTCTGACTCAAGGGGGGAGGGGGGGGCATGGGCAATATACGTAACCTTAACATTTGTATCCCCATAATATGCTGAAATAAAAAAAAGAAAGAAGAATTACTTCTACCATTTTGCTATTTGCTGTCTAAAAACAAATGTACTTATATATATAGAATAAAGATTGGAAGGACATATTCTAGAATGGTGATGGTTTTGATTATGGGTGATAGAACTCTGGATGAATTTTCTTTTATTTTTTTGCTTACATGTGTCTTCTAAATTCTTTATAAATAAGAGATATTACTTATATGATAAATAATAAATGCTTCTACAAAAAATTAGACCATTATGAAGGGTGATGGGGGCTGAGGTCACGTGTTGGGGAGAATAAGTTATTTACCAACAACTTAGTCTAGCCATAAAAAGATTACTGTATTTTTCTCCAGAACCTATGAAGCTATTTAGAGAAGTTTCAAAAATTTAAAAATTTGGCTGGGCGCGGTGGCTCACGCCTGTAATCCTAGCATTCTGGAGGCTGAGGTGGGAGGATTGCTCAAGGTCAGAAGTTCCAAACCAGCCTGAGCAAGAGTGAGACCTCGTCTCTACTAAAAATAGAAAGAAATTAATTGGCCAACTAAAAATACATAGAAAAAAAATTAGCCAGGCATGGTAGCACATGCCTGTAGTCCCAGCTACTCGGGAGGCTGAGGCAGGAGGATCGCTTGAGCCCAGGAGTTTGAGGTTGCTGTGAGCCAGGCTGATGCCATGGCACTCTAGCCTGGGCAACAGAGTGAGACTCTATCTTAAAAAAACAAAAAACAAGAACAAAACAAAAAAGAAATTTAAAAATTTGGACTTTGTTCAGTGTTAAAATTCAGACACTTAAAAAAGGGATGATACCTTTAAGTATGTCATTTATATCTTAATGTGAGAGGGTTTTCTAGAATTTTTCCTGAAAGTACATGATGGCAGGAGGTGAGAGATAACTTGAAAGTTCCTGGGGACTTTTTGAGGGGACATGAAAAAGGGTACAAAAGAGGGAAGATCAGATTTGCTGAAAATAAACATTATCCATCTTTTAATTTTTCTTTGCGATGATCTTGGTCATCCAGAAAGTCTTTGATAGAAAAATATTTGTGCTAGAAAAAAATCTTGGTACATCTCAATTGCCTGCCTTCTAGTCTTCACTTTTCAGTATCCCCCAATTCTTCATAGTTTTTTGTTACTCATTAAAAATGTATTCTAGAGACATGTGTGGATAGCACGGTTTGTTTTCTGGGTATGGTTTCGTGAGTGTTTTATCAAGAACAAATTGCCAAATACTGTTCTATGCCAAATACTGTTCTAGAACATTTGTCTGCAAATTATATGGGCAAAATTTTCAAGAAGCTTAAGAAAATTCTTTCTGTCCTGTTGTGCTGTAGGCTTCCGCCTAAGAGGAAATGCTTTCCAAGGTTAAACCAAAGTCCACTTATTAAACGTACCTGTGGTTGCAGCTGCTGTTGTACATTCAGCCCCCCTAGGGGCAGTGGGTGGGCTTGTAGGCCAGGAGTCATCCCCACGGCAGGATTTAACTGTAGGGCAGGAAAAAAATTTTTCTTGTATCTTTTTCAGTTTGAACATTCAGGAAACTAAATGTATTTATGAAACAAAAAATATGTTTAAAGGGAGGATTTGCCATGTAAATGCATAGTATTCTATTGCATGTATAGTCAGATACAGACATGAAATTCAAAGACTTGTCTCATCTACTAGTCCAACCACAAGGTCTGTTACTAACTTTTCCCATGCTAAGTTTTTCTTTGGTATTTAACCCATTTTCTTCAAGAGTTATAATACTTAGGTAATTTTACCCTTGCTTTCTCCTTTTGGCTACAACAGCAATGGTTCCTGGAATTATTCTGATAGCTTTTTTATTAAGAAATTAATTCCTTCATAGGTATCCCCATGACAATTATGAGTTTCAGATAAAATATCCAATCTGGAACATGAACTGTATTTAAATGTGACCACTAAAATAAATACATTTTAATCAGGAGAGGAACTTATTTTTCTCCCCCCAACAGACTAAACTATACAGACATTTTATGAGAAGACTGAAATCTTCCATCCTTTCTTGTTTGCTCTTGTTGGTGGGGTAGTAATAGTGATAGCATTTATGGGGGTGTGTGGATGTCGTAGGGGCATCAAGAAATGTAGGGTGGAAGAATGGAGAGTGGAGGTGGAGAAGGAAAGACTTGAGAACTAGATCCATTCCTTTATGGGCTCTCTTACTAGGAAAAACTTTATGTTGTATTGAATAGCATCCAGCGTTCTTTGACTCTTCCCTCTCTCCTTTTTTTCACCTTAAAATCTACAGTGAATGTGTGTGTGTACATTTGTGGATACACACACCCATGTACATGCTCCCTCCCAACGTTAGGTATTATATTTAACAATGGGTATGAAAATGATACAAAAGAGCACTTACCAGATGCAGATCTGAGCCCAGTGTGAGCATCTGTGTTAATGGTATTACACTTAAAGAAGGGACACGAACCTGCAGAGCATTGAAATTGATGTATGAGACAAGAGGTTGTCTGTTTCCATTTACTCTGTCGTGTGTTAACCTATAGTCTATGAATATAGGAGTATATGTATACTCCACGTAATCTACACTCCTGCCAGAGGTGGATTTACCATGAAGGTAAATGAAGGTGAAGCTTTAGGGTCTCTCACTAGCATCACCCCCTTTTTGTGGCCCTGGAGCACGCCCTCGCAATGTGTCAAGTTTA